TTACTATAAGCACTTTTTTTAAGTTTCAAATCTCTGAGTCAAATCAGAATCTTAAGTTGAAAGTGTACCGTCAACTTTCCAGCTAGTTCACTGCAAATTACCTAAGTTTCTTCGAGAAAAAAGTACTTTAGATTATTTTTCCCGCATAGAACAGGTCTTGGTGCGTAAGAATCACCACGCCCATGACAGCTTGAGAAGTCAGGTACAGGTTCCAGTCCTTTTTGATATTGTCAATATCAGTAAGAATTGTTCGACATCTCAGACAAGAAATTTCATCGCAGTTTTCCACAATCGGTTGGAGGTGAAAGAAAACATATTTCTTTGAGATAGGCACGACCATTCCAGTTCAGTTCACCGAAGTTATCCTGACCATTAGAAGTAATGATAATTTAAATCTGGGTAAAAGTCTCTATAGACTCTTATGAGGCAACAGGCGTCGCAGGTGCAACTGATCAAAACATACTAGAGATTGGTTTACACGAAGTTCTCTCATTCTGGGCAGCTAATACAGAGGGAGAAATAATATTCACCCTTACAACCTTGTTTATGTCATGAGGGCATGCCAGACAGTCTACGACTGCAAATTGATCCATCTAAAAGGTCGTTCCATGTCTGAGAGTCTTATCAACAATATCTCTGTAAGAAATAGGTAAAATGCTTTTTCTTTTAAACTATTATGATGATATGTTGAAAATATTAAATTTCTCCGGTGCTCCGGTCTCAAATGAAGGTTACAACACTGCCTTTAAAAAATCATAAATCACTTGTAATCCACTTGGCAAAAGGTTCAACATCGGCCCATCCGTTTACAATAGAAACCTGAGAAAAAAGTTTATTGCCGTTTCTCTAGCGTTCCTCCTTTGAAAATGGCTAATCTTTCCAAAATTTATTTAATCACATCGACAGCGAACTTTTAGCCTAAAATTGGGACAGGCAACATTTCACACGCGCGTCTGCCCCGCGCGCACGTATGTGTTTGGTAGCTTAAATACACATAAGTGTAATAGAAAGCGATAGCCGATGCTCAGATTAAACAAGTTAATTCCTCGGTCCATCTCGATCATACCTCTTATCATTGTAAGTATAACGTTGTTGAGATTTCACTGATATTTCTGCTGACAGATTTATATAATGTCGTGCTTAAAGCGCCAATGTTCCTTGCTAGGGGTCAAAACGACTCCCGGGCTGCGATGAACGATGATCGTTTTTTTGTTCTAAATATACATCGATGTATTAATTTCTTGTATAACATTTGGCTTCCTCGTTTTCCGTCTTGAAAATCATTTGTTTTCTTTGCGAAGACGTGTTATTTGAGTGAGCAAATTTTCATGCGAATTACCTTTTGTATTTCTTCAAACTGAAAAACATTTGGAAAAATTTCTGTGTTTCGTGTTCCTGGGAGGAAACAACAGACATTGCCTTGACGTTCCATAAATGTTTCATCCAATGTTGAGTACACGGGTTTTTTTTGAACAACAGAAAAACAACAACAGTAAAACAAATACATACTTGAAAACTAACGGATTACCGCGTATTTTGTCGAGTTAAGTGTGATAATGTCGTTGTGGAAAACGGATTTCATCTACAGGGACTCATTTACACCTGGTTTAGAACAAGTTGACTGACAGAACGCGGCTGATTAAGACAGCATCTGCACCTAGTGAGCCAACCATGATGAGGTTGTGACCTCAGGCAATATAAGAGTGACTTTTGATAAAGAAAATACATTAACAACTTTTCGTTCATCAATCCACTCCAAAATCCAAACCAAATGTCTTCGAAGAACAACCTAAGATCCATTGATATGTAACTGAAGCACTATTCTGAGATAAGTGTACGGTTCGGTGCGGCGTGCATACTCGGAGGGTCGACTGGCTGTGTTCGAATCGTCAATCTAGAGCCTGAAAAATTCTATCCGCCACCACTGACAATATGCTGTCAATTAACTAATTAATGGTCAAGGGATATCTTCCAGCCGCTTGACAAGGATTTTTAACAACACGCATGATTGGGTCATCCAGGCACAACGACATCAGTACAGACCGAATCACCAGACGACGTGAATCAGCCATCAGTTATAAGCAGCCAACTCGACCTTTTATCAGGTATTAGCTTCATGTTATGGACAGTTCGGGATTTCTGTCTCCTAAGGCGAACGCTTTCTCCATTGCACACCTGATCGACCGAGCACAGCTCGCAGACCTTGCGTTTTTGCGCGGCCAGAATCCTAACTACAACTGGAACTCGCAAGTTCTACTGAAAGATATGGAAGGTACAACCATAATGCGCGCGCGCGCTATCAATCAAATTCGAGTCCGGAAAGATTTTGGCACTACCTTCCCTGCGGTTTTCCTGGGAGTTGATGAGTGTCTGAGCTTATAATTTGTTTTGCAGAGCGCCTGATGAACGTAGGAACGGGTAAGAGAGCACCAGCCAGAAGAGTCAACCAACATATGATGCCAGAGGACTCTGACGAAGAAAGCGATGCGGGACACTCCCCAGTATCAAACTCCCCGCCACCTCAATCTTCCTGCTCTCAAGCTGTGGCATCTAGGCCATTATGCAGCGGACTGATCAACGCTCGAGTAGACTTGGAAATGAAGAGTTTATGGGAAGAGTTTCACGGGCTCGGCACAGAGATGATAGTGACGAAGGCGGGAAGGTAACCAACCACGAATTTATTTACATTATCCGTTTTGGGGGCATTTAGACCCTCTGGTTCCACTTCAATTTTAGACTTATCAAGGTTTAATCCAGGGTGAAGTAAACGAGCTCTCGTTTTGTTATCTCAAGATTCTTTAGAGATGCAGTGGTTTTTTCGTATCAGATTTCAAATAATGGTTTCCGTGATTTCAAGGGGAGAATCGATTCTCTTTAGGTTTCAAGCGAGACCGACCCAAGATCTATAGTTACATCTCAGACATGAACACTGAATGAAATGAGAGTCTAAAAGTCAATTTAAGAAGCGTGCGCTTAAAACCTCCTTTTGATTGGACTGGAAAGATAGACAATGCTTTTGAAGTCCCGGTTTACACTGCTCGATCCTCGGCCATCTTTCATCAGAAATGAGGTTTCGTTAATAAGACACGAGTAGGTTATCCATTGTCGCGTTATTTCTTTAACAAGCGATGGTGTAAAACAGCCGTGAAAGATTTATTATGTTGAAAAGAAGCCTTATTGTAATTACACGAATTGAAACACCGGACGGAATAGACCATAAGTTGCTCGTTGATGGATGTCGCTGGTAAATTAACCGAAAACAATACAGCAATAAAAACACTGGCAATAAAAACGTAGGTGAAAATGGGATATGGATTATCAATCGGAAACATACGTCTCAGGGAGTTTTCACATTCTTTATATACAAGTATCCATGAAGCAAGACTTAGTAAAACTCGAAGTGGTGATAAGTCCAAAAGAGTTGTGTTCTCTCCTTTTAAGATTTCACGATTCACGATTCATGTCCGGACAAGAGACAATTTTACGATGCTTCCTATAAGACGAAGGCTTGTGCGTTCTTGCTGAATTAAATTAGCCATTTCTACAGGATTGTTCGAAGTACATCTGACCTCTGGTATTTGCAGATCATTAGAAATTCAATATGCTGTACTATATTTGGTCAAAAACTGGTAAGGATTCGTAGCAGCGGGAGAGTTTCTGCAGAAGGAAACCAGAGTGATTTTGACTGAAAACAACCATCGAAGTGATTTGAGAAAGAATCCCTAATATCCTACGTGTTAATACATATTTCTAGTTCCACCGGTCAAGTTTCTGTATCATTTGAAGGGTGTGACGTCAGTGATAATTAAGTTACCCTTGAAAAGTTATCTCTCAAAACTTTGAAATATAAAGCCAGAGAATGCAAACTAGTGGTTTTCTTTTTTGTATCAGTAATACACTCATCGAACCTTATTAAAAAGAATTTTCATTCTTTGCAACAGAAACATTTCCTCTGAAATCGTTTACACTACTGGTGCGATTGGAATAATAAGTTCCGGAAAACCTCACGTGTAGAACTGAAGATGGTGGTTTTTTTTCATTTTAATGTTAAAACCTTCCTCATGAATTGTATAGCATTTAACACTACTGCATTGTCTGGAAAATCCATCAGTAACACGTGTGAGTCAGCCAAAGATTTTTACCTTCTGCTTTTCATTGCTTCGCTCTTGATGAATTTGATTGAAAATGACAATCGAATAATCATTGAAGGTCAGGGAAGGTCTTCCTCCTGAAAAAAAACTGTCATGGCAGAATTGAGACTTAATCTGTCCTGGAGGATAAGTGAATCATAAAATCCAATTATCATAATTGGACAATGGTGGCATTCTGTAAATTACAATCTATGATTTTTTTTTAATTCTAAAATTTAATTAAAATTTCCCTCTTCAAACCTTTGCCATTGTAGCCAAGAGTATAACGTGTACAATTGAATATTAAGTAGTCGTTTCTCGCTTATGAGAGGGCTAATATATAAGCAAGAGTAAAATCCGTAGTTATCAGTCACTTTTAATTCTTCTGCTCAAAAAAAGGTCCAACTGACTATAAAAGACACGGAAAAGATGCTGAGAGAGACATCCATCAATAGAGCTCTCCCTCGATCTCTCACGAATTCACTTATTGCGGCTCATATCTTTACCCAGGAAATCAAAAACCATTCGAGCGCGTTTCGACTATGTGTCCTTGAACGAAACTAAAGTGATTTCATTAGCCAATCAAAAAAAAGAAAAAGAAAATGCTAGAAGGAGCCTGCGAGAATCCCAGGAAAAACAAACAAACTGTTTGAACCGCGTTAAACTGGCGCGAGTGATTGAGTCGTGATGGTTTCAGTTTGCTTATTTTCTTAACAATTCAGTAGTGAAGTAAGGCGAAACCAAAGCGAATTTCGGGTTCCTCTCTATACTTGATTAAACTTGCTCATGTACCTCATGTACAGAATATAAATCTCACACCAGTGTCTTGCTCGTTACGATTGAATTAAGGGTTTTTTTTCCCCTGAACGTCATTGGTTTTTGTCCATAAGACAAAACTACTGTCATGGTTTCTATCAAACTTAAATCCTTCCCCATGTTGCGAAATCGGCTCCAACGATTTTTGCATAGCTACCTTAAACTTGAGGCTTCCACGAGTAGTTGTCAAGTTACCTCTTTAGTATATTCATTACATAACACTCATATCGCCAAATTCTCGTTACTAATCAAAGAGGTAATGAATAGCTGTTAAAAGGAAAAGTTATCGATCATATTTTGAGAGTGTAAAGGTTAAAACTAAGTGAAAGTTCTTGCTGCAATTTTGCAATACCTCTGGTCTTTTTCAGACGCATGTTTCCAACATTTCAAGTGCGCCTTCAAGGTCTGGACCCGTCGGCTAAGTACATCCTAATGATGGACTTCATACCAGTCGACGATAAACGTTATCGGTACGCTTTTCACAGTTCCAAGTGGCTGGTGGCAGGCAAAGCAGACGCCAGTGTACCCGGGAGAGTACACATTCACCCTGACTCACCCTGCACTGGACAGCAATGGATGAAACAGATCGTGTCTTTTGACAAACTTAAACTCACCAACAACCTTATGGATGACAACGGGCATGTAAGTCCTAAGACACTGTCTATATCTGTAGAGTTGAGCTCATCGATCAACTCTAAATGATCACCTTGATTGAGAATATTTAAACTGCATTTATGTTTAGAAGTTCCTTAACTGGTTTTGAACCCGCTTTCCTGTTTCGCTGAAGATATCTTTGTACAAGTTCTTTGCCCAAAGAGTCTGAAAATACACAAAGGCGCAAGTTGTTGTCGCTAGATTTCGGTTTCTGATTGGTAAGGACAATCTCTTCAAGCAAAAATTTCGGCATGCTCAAAGGTCGAGAGTGCGTCACTGTCATAAAAACTTCAGAGTCGAAATTTTATGCAGAAAGTTGAAATCAAACACGCATTATTGCGAGTAATCAAATCATTCCTCATACAATTCAGAGTGAATGATGAAGAGAAATTTGCACCAGCCCGTAATAAAGGAACTTGCGCCTATTTATTCTACCATATTGCTCTCGAAAAAATTTGACTATTTTTTCATAAACGCAGCTTTTGCATAACTGTGTCACTTGACCTTGTCAGTCATCAAAAATGGTTGTGGTACGAAATCGATATCAAAAATGGACAGTGCGTGATGAAATTCATGTACACGCCGTGGCTGAAATTAGCTTCATCCCTGTCAGCAGAGTCTGACGACACAAGCTGACTGTGTATGACGCAAATCTAGTTTTCTGATGATATTTTAAGGCAATCAGTGATAAAGAAAACAGATTGATTTAACAGGCGACGCAGGATTTTCGACATCTAAAGCCACCTTGAAGGCGGCCAGGAATATTTTCCACCTGATCCTAAACGTTTGTGCGTCTAAGATTTCAGGAAACGCTTTATTTTTTGTACGCATTAGGGTAACTACATTAATCGTTATGTTTAATTCAATTTTGTAATCTTGTAGAGCTGCTCTGAGTGCCAACAGACTTTATCTCGTGATTTTAACTGCTCTCTGACATTTCATTATGACGGCGAATTTTTGTTGAAGCAAGCACAAGAGGGGGTGAAAACTGCAAATGCAGCCGACAAATTTCATTTTGCAGCCTTTAAAACTTCGTGCACGCGGCTAACACCTGTCTTCATGATTAGCAAAAGTAGTTTTCATCAGTTAAGTGGGTTAACCGTGCAAAGTCCTTGCCTAGACCATTATCTATCATCTCACTTACAGAGCGATGAATGAGTTTTTTTAGCGAAAATTTGGGATGATTTGGCTGTCGAAAGATCTTATTTTTCAAAGCGTAAACCGCTTTTACGGTGCGTGTGGACATGTGATTCTCACTTTCACTGCACCTAGTTCCGTCTTCCTTACAATCAAGTGCAGTAATCCAGGATTATGTCTCCCAAGTAGAACTCAATAATCAAAATGCAATGTTTTAAAATCACATTGGCAAATGATCATAATATTGGCTTTTTCACCTTATTTGGCTGTTTTTGCGGAAGGCGGGAGGTGCGGTGTCAAAACATTCCTATTTCAAGTGAAGGGTGTACATACCGGATATTGCTTAAATATGTTCCATACAAATTTGGCTTAAGTGGCCCGATTCGATGTTAATCTTTCCCTTTCCAATTTTCTTCACAAAATTTGCCCTATTTAAAAAAAAAAAAAAAACGCTTGCGATTTTAATCATACGGACTCGACTTGGAAATCTTGGGCTGCAGACAAATGACATGCTAAGGATCTGGTTTTGTCATTGCCAACTTCTCCAAGGGGAGGAGATTTTAATCAAAACATGATACACGTACTGTTTGTGTACATCTAGGGGTCCTTTTGGACATGACGATAAACACGTTCAAAAAAGTTTTAGCAGAGTTCGAACATTTCAATCGTTGGCGATGTACTGGTAAAATGGATACCAAACGTTCAGTTACCCGTAAACACATTTGTTTAATTTGTTTATCAGGGATAATCCGATTTGTTTTTCCGAAAAATTCTCTAGAATTAAACTGACTCCTTATGGGGGATTTAGAGTGAGCGGTTAAAGTTCCCAGAATAGAAACGGAAATTAGAACACTTTTGAAACTACCATCAAAGAACCTCCCTGGGTGATACTCCCGCGGCCTCCAGCTCTACAAAACGACCGAGGAACATCACGGCGACCACCCTCTTTACCCTTTCGCACTCAAGATCCCAACATCAATTCTCCACACTTTTTTACTTATATTCCATATAATTTAAGTTATGAGAATTTGATGCTAAATCAAACAACATCCTTCTGTTGATGTTTTCTCTCTTTTCTTGTTCCCGTCACCTTTTTGGTTGATATTTCGTTGATCTTGTGAGGAGAAATTCGTTATTAATCACTATTAGGAGAGAAAGGGTTAAGGTTTCCTCTTCTCGATGCATTTACAGAATTGAGTGCCTGTCTTAACCAAAGGTAGTTTTAATTACTTTATTGATCGTAATAACGCTTTCAAATTTCAAAACTATGCTTTTGGAGCCCAGTTTCGGTTCTGTTTTGCCTTACTTGAACTCGGACGTTTTAACTCCTTGGCCAATTACCTCAAAAACAAAGTTAAAAAATGAACAATAACTGAATGAAATTCAGTTGCTCGTGCAAATCAGTTTCCCATTATTATATCTTGTTCGATACTTCCCAAGCAGCTTGACACTTGCCGTGTGTTTTGCCAGGCTTTCTTTATCAGGTTGCATGTTCTTGGGCGTTGTCTTCTATTCAATCTCGTTCCTGGGGTCCGTTTTCTCGCATTTGAAGGGAAAGAAACCGTGCACTTGCCACAAGCTGCACGCTTGCCCACGCTTAACGCAGGAAATGTGTGGTTCCGCGTCCGGCGCCAAGAGCCCCTGCTTTCAAGTAGAATTCTGACCAGTCTGTTATGTACGGTTCATCTCGCAGATCATCCTTAACTCAATGCACAAGTACCAGCCAAGATTTCACGTGATTCTTGACGAATCGGAGAAAGGAAATTCCAGGGCGAGTCTCCATGAAACCAACAAGGACCATCTACGAACGTTTATCTTCCCTGAGACACAGTTCATGGCCGTCACAGCTTATCAGAATCACATGGTAAGTTTTTTTCTGTTTTGCTAAATCGTACGGGGCGTCAGACCATATTCCACGCCAACTATGTTTAAGGGACGTTTAGTGGCTGTATATGGTGATTTGTAGTTCTGTAGTTTATCTGAGTTGTTCAAAGCTCAAGAAACATTAATCCAGGATTATACTCCATGGTCACATACAGTTTTTCCATGTGCTTAACCTGGGACAGGTGCTGATCGGGTCTCGATCAAAACAACTCTAGAACATGCCTCTGGCAACCTTTTTCTTCCTCATTTGTTTTCCTCGCAGAGTAAACAACTTATATCAGCTGCAGCACTAAACCTTTAATTCCGTGGTCAGAGACTATCGCTATGTCATGTATGTTTGGCAAAAATGCATTTTGACGTTTGGCATTCAGAGTTTTGTTTCAGCAACATTTTTTTTTTTTTCAATCGACCAGAATTTTTTTCAGTGGCCTTCAAACCTTTTATCGCGTTCTTTTCGCTTTTGCTGGCATACTTTACGTTCTGATGAAAATGTTCAAATAGATTAGTCTTTTTTTAACTCTTACATCTCCGTAATTCATTACTTAATCAACATAACTTTTATGGAGAGAAGTCGGTCAGAACAAGTAGTTTAGGATATTTAAGTGATAGACTTCATCGTGTTTGTCCAGTGTTAAAATTTCAACTTAGCCTCATATTTCAGATCATCAATTTGCTAGATTTCCATTGTAATGTTGCAATCGTTTTATGATAGGTCTATGCTGCAAACTGTTATGGGGAAGTTTTGAAAAGTCATAATCTTGAGCAATTTAGATTTGGCTTTTAAGGAACAAAAATTAAGGAAATTTGAAGAATCCATCGCGACTTTACATTAGTCTTGAGCAATCTTCACTCAATCACCCCAACTGACTAAAAGAACTGATCATAAAAACACGAAACGTAGACACGGATTTTCCTAAATTCAAACAATAGGTTGAAAACAGATTTTTGCTTTTAGCTACATAAGGTGTCTTCCGATCCTCTTAAAGAACTTTGATCCTTAGAGAAACACAATCTCTTGACCTTTTGTGTAAATCTAAACAAACGTGTTTTTTTCATGTATTTCAATTAAAACCCACCACAACCAGAAGTATTCTATTGAAATAATCGGATTTCAAGAGGATTTTGTCATATTGGATTAGCACCGCAACATAATTAAGTTGTCCTATTTATCGCCTGAAGGCACATATCTCACTGTGAGAACATCAGCTGGTGATGTCAAAAGACTATCACTCATGTTGTAATCCTTGAATAGTGCCGACTGCTGTGACAAGTTTACAGCGCAATTACATTCCTTCAAAACATATAACAAGCTAAGTCATTTGCCACAAAGGAAAATTCTTCTCTAGTCTCAATTTGGCTTGGACTGTAGTTTGCTTTTAAAACTTACATTCGTTTAGCTTCGAATTGGTTCTCTTCCATTGTCTATGCTATCTTCGACAAAAGTGTCGTAATTCTTCGCTTGATATTGAGCATTGCAAAGAGAGAAACTTTCCCGGCCAGTTTATCCCAAACATCTTTCCCCTGTTATTCTCAAAGTGACCACAGTACGATATTAGAAAGAGATTGGTCGATATCTCCAAGTATAATATGAATGGACAAAACAGAGAGCGGTCTTTTTTTTTTTTTTCTGTAATTCTATCTCAATTTAACATTCCCCAGCCATTTCTATACAATTGACCTTAAAAAGAAAAAACACACATTGTTTGGCTGTTACGTGAGGGGACAACATACCAAACATGGCTCTGTCCACAACACCCTTTAACAGCTCTTAACCACAGCCTGATTAGATTATATACTATCACAACCCTTTATCGGAGTAATGCTTCTTAATTTCGCAAAGTTTGAGTACCTACTTTTGACTTAAGTATAAGCTAGTGAGTCATAAAGATATCAACATTAATAATCCTCTAGGACTAGTAAAACCATTACTGAGACTAGGAAAAGGTCAATGTCCCTTCGGCTGATAGGCATAGGTTATCCAATACGTACTTAACTTGGCGCAAGACACGTCTATTGATTAAAAAGCGGTATTTTAATTGATGATGAGGTTATAAAAACACATTCGGTTTTTCTATTGCATTCCGAGAGCCTGTGGCTGATTTCAGACATAAACCATGCTCACAGATTAGTTTTTAGGGAGAAGTGACCGACGCGAATGCGTTTTGAACAAGAATAGTTCACGCGAAAAGGACGGGTCTTGATCTTGGCCATGTTTTTTTTTTTTTTTTTAAGTGGAAAACTCTTGGAATCAAAACAGTTTCAATGTTAAAAATTCATGATTTTGAGCCTCTTTTTCATACTAAGTCGCAACACTCATAATTATTCCTTCATCTGGCTTTTGACCAGTACAAAGTCTTTTTGGCAACTATTTCTTGCTGTCAAATTTTCTAGGTAAGATTTGAGGAGTAAGAGACACTCCCTGATTAGCAAACTGAGGTAGTTTAATCAATTTACGAAGTAATGCCTTTGATTATGTGACTGACTACAAAGGCCAATTATTTGCAGGAACTCTAAATAATTACTTGTCTTACTAGTTGAATTGAGAACAAAAAGCTGCTTAGCACGTTTTCATGCACAAATGCAACAGCAAAAAAGGAATTGTTGTACACAAAAGCAAAGAAAACTTGCCGGTCAAGAACATTTTTTTTCTGGACGATCTGTTGGATAAGAATAACCCTAGAACTTCTTAAATTTCTTTGACAATGCTCCTTGACGGGTCATCTATTCACGAAAATTTATTCCTTTTGTTTATTCTTGCTCAAGAAGTGGCAGCTATAATCAGTGCTATCTACGCTATCAAGAAAAACTCTATAAGTTAAATGTTTACAGGGAGACCTCACCACAGCACAAATGCTCCTCAAATCTTGAGAAAATTGTAACTTTAATTAAGCAAGCTTCTACTTTGTACCCTCAGGCAGTTAACCCTTCCGGAGTACCTAATAATACCTAACATGCCTTCGACTTTTTCGATTCAGATAACACAGCTGAAGATCGCCAGCAATCCATTTGCCAAAGGGTTCCGAGATTGTGACCCGGATGACTGGTGAGTACTTTTATGAAATTTTCTCATAAGTTTTGTCAGATTTCTGAAAACTTTTTTGTTTCCTTGAGACTTTGAATTCACTATTTTCAGGACACCATTTTTTTACATTTACATTTAAAATAGTCCACTTAAATAACTGCAATGTTCTTCTGAATGTCGAAAGTAATCCATGATTGCATCGGTTTTGCTTTGGTACGCAACCGGGATCAATATCAGTATCTGGGCAACTTCCCACCTACCCCTCCCCTAACTCAGCAACAGTCAATTGACAACAACTTAAGGTTAATGTTGGGTTAGGGGAGGGGTAGGTGGGCAGTTGCCCAGATACTGATATTGATCCTGCTACGACCACTATCTCAACTAATCAAATGCTAAACTAAAAGCAATCGTTACTTTATCACTAGCCATGCATCAACATCTGCATCTCCAGCGCTTCAAGACTCCTAGGGGATTTATCTATGAACATGTAAACTAATTTTACTGTAAATTTAGAATTAACTCAACGATTTAGTCCTATTACAAATTAGGTTAGAGTGTTCTTAAATCCAATTGGATTTTCTTATTGTAAATATAGATTTTAGATTAAACTTATACCTCCTAGTATAGTTTTAACTGTTTTAGGAACACCTCTCATAAAGATTTAAGATTTAAGTGATATCAACCTGGTTCTGATCGGCTGTTTTGTGGCAATTACAAGTGTACTATTATCACAGTAAATTCACGAATTGAGCTGCAGATAATCACTTAGAGAAAATTATTCCAATATAATCTTTTTTCATACTAAAATGCAGTGTTATGGAAGTCATGAAACAACTTGACCAGGGAGAAATCTCTGCGACCGCTCGTGCCAGGTTACATGGGGACATGGTATCTCAAAGAAATGAACCTCAAGTACCTCGGCCTCAGGCTCCCCGGCCAGTGCCTCCTGTCAGCGCTGTAAATCCAGCCTTCACCTATCCAGGTGAGATAACGTTTAAATTTGTTGGCTTAAATTAGCTGTCCAGGGTTGAGTCTGTGCCGTAGTCTTATCAGAGATTAAACTATGGTAATCCACACTTCGTTTGTCTTAGGTCCGTATGAAAATAGAGGAACTCCGCTGACGCACATACCCAGAAATCTCCCGAACTCTTCGCCTCCCGGAGGATATCTACCTATGATGCCTCAAATGATGGGCCACGTGGGCCCTAACCCGATGTCGCCGACTTCTCCGACGAGCCCTGGATATGGCCAGCGCACATATCAATCATTACGCATGCACAGGACAATGCCATATCCCACAAGGCAAAGCAGGTCTTCTTCAAGCGATGAAAGTTGCCCATAGAAACACACCTGAAGTTTAATACATTGAATTAAAGCCGAATCTCACGAAAAGAATTTGCAGTTATAATAACATTTTCTTTAACGAATGTAAAAGGCTAAAAGGTGATGCTTGTACATAAACAAAGACAATTGAAATATACGGCATATTGCATCTTTTTTCAAACAACAGCTTGCCTTTTTTGTTTCCTCAATTCAAAGAAGAAATGAACAGAGACCACCATACTCGTTTATTTGGAAATGACAATTTGTTTCGCCATTGTCTTAAGTTCTCGTCCAAATCAAGCGGTGTAATTATGTGCAGTAGAGATTCACATCTTGTGATTATGTTTGTTTTTTTTAATAACCAATTGGATACCTAAGTTCTGCGTCTGCGCATTTGTAAACAGTAACGTGCCCTCGTATGCGCAAGGAGAAGCGAACCTCACAAGAAAGTATTCCCGAAAAAACCCGGTAAGTCGCTTTAGTAAAAAACCCTAGTAAATTTCTCAAGTAAAAGCTGGAAGTAACCTGGTTCTTCTAAGTAAATCCGAGAAATATGAAATTAGCGTCAGTTATTTCAATATTCATCCAGTCAAATCAAGTATAATTCTCTAAACTAGAATTTCGACTCCACCATCTGCGCGAACTCCAAACTCGAGAATGTACGCCGCCTTCATAACAAAGACAACACCTCACGCTACACGTAAGTGACGGCAATAACCTCAAAGTGTTACTACTTCCGGCATTTCGCAAAAAAAAAAAATTGTACAACTATTTAGTGACCTAATGAACCCTACCATTTTTAAACATGGGATTTTTTTGCTGGTACTTGATCTACGCTTTATTCCAATGTCTACTGTTCTTAGCACGTGCTTTGCTTCAATTTCTTGACAATTTGAATTTTGTATTGAAATAAAAGCCCTGCAAGGGTCAATTAGCTAAGTTTTCAGTTCTGGCGACTTTAAAGTTCAGAGGACTAATTCGTATTTATCCTCTGTGATGAAATCTTGACCACATAACAAAACGTTCAGAGTTCACCTTGAATCGAATCAACGAAACGACCCCTCCAGCAGTAATAATGAACTTGCGCATAACAGACAAAGGCTTGTGTCAGGTACTTCTCAGACCTGCTCACTTACGACTGAGGTATTATGATATTCTCCGGAGTATCCATTTAATTGAGCAAAGTAGTAAGCCGAGCAGTTACGCAAGCCGTGGTATAGACTCTTTAAAATGTTGCATATGAAGTGCACACACGCACTGAAGATGTTTTAGTTACTAGCTCCTGTGTTCATGTTGCGTTAAGCCGGCTTTCGTCTCTCATCTCTTTCAACCTTGTCATAAGCTTCCTAGTGTTCTCCGAGCGTTCTTCCTCGTCCATTCTGTCCCAATCGTCGGTGTTAAGTTCCCTGCCGAACAACTCTCTTTCTGCTTCTTTGTACTGGTCACTGTTTGTCTGCAAAGCGTCTTTCGTGATTATATCAAGATTTGTCCGCTGTTCCTCTGAACCGTGGGCCACTGCAAATAAAAATCATACTTCTAACAAGACGATTCGTTTCAGACTTAATAACTGTCCAATTAGAGTTGACACCCGTGGGTACGCTTAGGATTTCGGGAGTGCGCGGAGATCCCAAAGACGATAGGTTAAAGTCATTAATGCAAGAAGTTCCGTGGAAAAAATACTTGGCAGCAGACTAAGATTGATTTCATACTGTTTCAGTAAAATTTTTTTCTAACCACAAACCGCAACGGGTTGAGTTACACCAGGATTTTTATTGGAATTATCTCTTACCTAAATCTAGGCTGTGAAGCGTCGCTCCTAGTAACGACCGAACCATGTCCTCGACCTGTTGACGCGATGCTCTCGAAAGACGAGGACTGGGGTTTACTGGAGTTGGCTCCTTCACTGAAGGTGCACCAGAGGAGCGTATAGCAGGGCTAGTGACTGGAGTAACTCGTTTTAGTCTCGCAAGTTCGACTTGCAACCGTGCAATCTCTTCATCCTTCTTCTTTTCCACAGATGATCGCTCTTGTCTTTCACGTTTGAGCTCTTTCTCGAGCGCTACGATTCCTTCCTTTTCACGTTTTTTCTGTGCTTGAAACTCTTGCCTCATCTCCTGTTCACGACGTCGCATCTCCTCCTTTTGTTCTTGCTTCTTCCTGGCTTCTTCTCGTCGATGTTCCATGAGTTGTCTCCGTCGTTCCTGTTCTCTTTCCTCGCGAGTCTGCCGCCGGTCTTCGACTCGCTGACGAGTGGGAGGCTGCCCCCGGAACCACCCAGACCAGGGGTGCGCAGACCTACCAACTGCTAAAAGTTAAGACACAGATGAGACCACAGATCTACGCCAAGCATATCTGCAGACAAATGCTGAAAATTACTTATTCTTAAAGCGCACATTATGTGATATACATCTCTTTCTTAACAAGGTGGCCGTTTACGGTGCGCGGTAAAAAGTGGAGGGGAATCAGAGACTTACCGCAGCCCACAACCCTTTGGCGAGCACCTGTTCACAAAACTCCTTTTTTCTCTCTCTTTTTAGCACGGAAAGTGGCACAGGAAAAAACTATTACTGGAAACAGTTTAATATGCACCAATCCTATTTTCTAGGGCGAAAAATAGACGCAACTTGAAAGATTACCATTGGCGCAACTCATTCAGCACCTTAGACGAGTGAAGTTTCAAAGTTTTACCACCTACTCGAATACTCGTTCATTTTCTCATAAATAATTCATAGCTCCTTCTTCCCAAGCTACGTATGAAGTTTGATCCCAAAATGAGAATCCTAGCTGAATTTAGGCATTTTGAAATGAGAATTTGCTATTTTCTTCCTATGGAACTATCAGGTTATCAACTGTGGTGATTTGCCAAGATCAAGAGAGGACACAAGGTAAATTAATAGATCAATATGAGGTAAGGAGAATACAGGAATTGATCCCATACTTGCTACTGGATCCACAAGTGGTAAATCAGAACCATGAACCTCTTCTGTAACCAACCTCTGCCAATCAGCCATGAAATGATGATCAATCTACAAAAAGGCATGGTACATTGTAGGATAATGTGTTAACTTACAATTTTGGAAGGTAAAGGAATTTTGATTCAGGTTTAAGGGAAATCATTGCACCTACCACTCTTTGAAAGTCTCTTATGGTGAGTTTTTTGCTCCCAGCGAGCAAAACTTCCTCAATCTCTTTGGTCTAATTAGGCAAAAAGAGTGAAAATCTCATAATCACCATTCTTGTATGCATTTAACCTTAAATAAAACTAGGACATATAAGGTATTTAAGTCTTACATTTCTGCACACTAAGATTTCATCTCTCAACAACAGCAGCATGACAGCAGAGAATGTCGCAATACAGTTGAAGGAAGGAAGTTTCATACTCAGAATGTACTGGTCCCAAATGTAGCAAACCACATCAAGGGAAAGAAACCCTGAAAAATACAAGTATAGCAGTGTGATTTTTCCAAGATATAAAAAAAACCGGTTTAAAATGTGAAGTCTTCTGAGTCTTGTAACCAATTATTTCCAGAGTTTATTGCTTTTTCAAGAGAAAGAGATAAGAAGGAGTATAGCTACTCCATCTGATGGGATATTAATGTCCATCACACCTCACTCTTGGGTAGAAAGAAGCAATGTGAAAGTTAACCATTTAACCCTATGAGTGACTGACTTCTTATTTATCCTTACAGTATCATGCTTGAATCAAGTTTTAAGGTCACAAAAACAAAAGAAACGATGAGGAGAACAGTGTAGAATAGATGAATACTATTTTTAGTTTAATGGGTTAAGTGTCCTATCCAATCAGTGTTACTTTTGGATGCCTACGATCAAGACTTAAACACATTGAGATCAGTTTTAGTCAAATCTTACCAACAAACATGCACCTTGCATACGACCTCATGATTGCTGCCAGACTTTCTGCCAACTGAGTTGTCTGGTCTGTTCAAAAAGAATTACAGTGTGTTTACACATTATAAACAAGAATCAGTAAATTGAACTTGTGTAGTCCACCTCACACAAAGCCTACATAATAGCAACACTAAAAGATGTTAGCCTCAAAAATAGTACCATCCTAGATAGTCATACAGGGTTGAACTTCCTCTTGTATAATGAGGTACCAGTTGAGAACTCATAATTTGCTGAAAAATTAGGTGCATGACCAGGGGAATGCCACAAATTTTTCACACAGGCTGATAATTGGGTATTCATCTCTATCAACTACTGCCTTACCATGTGAAAATATTCTCTGCAGAGTTAATGCAAGCTGCTGATCTTTGGAATTCAAGTAGTCAGCCATTTTACTACCAAACTGTTTTTGTGCTAACAGGAATTCCTATGGAAAACAGAGGAAAAATGACTTTTTTACACTGAACAGAAATTTCAATGCCCATACGTACAGATATCTCAGAGCAGTAAAGCTGCAAAGGAATTCTTGCATTCTTTAGCAGAAAAATAACCTTAGATTTGGAGTCCTTCATTAAAGATGGTCTTGAATCCAAGAAGGTAAAGTAAACTTCAACAAAGCTTGCAATTTCCTCAGCATTTATCAGTTGAACATGAGTGTCTGCAACCATTACTTTCACAAAAGGTATGGCCAACAAGAAGTCTGTGTCAACTATCGTTGATGTGCTACTAACTTTCACGTCCCGGTAGGATATTGAAGTTTTCATGATATTCAGCAAAGCTGGATAAGATTCAAGCCTAAAATGACTTGATTCTGAGGACAAGAAAGCTTTGCACTTTTGTCCAATGGCTGCATCGTGTCGTGAAACAGTGTCTTGTTTGTTTCTCGAAAGCTTTTCTAAATATTCTTTTCGAACGATCGGATTCGCTAGAAACCAATTCCATACTGCCCTTCGCAACTCTGTCGGTAAAGGACGATTCAAACAAGCAAACAATTTGGTTTTAAGATCCGGCCACCTTTGCAACAAACTAATGGACGCTTTCGAGGATTCTTGAAGAAGAAGTTCTGCCTTTGTACGTGTATTCGATGCATCGATAATCGTTTGGGTAACTTCTTCATTTAGATTTCGATCAAGAGTTTCCGAAACTGTTGCCATCAGCTTTTGATACGAAGAGCTGTCACGAACAAGCTTACCAGCACGATCAAGAAACATGACTTTCTCTGAATCTGTGAGATCGGAAAAGTAAGACACGTGGTTTTCTGTAAGCTGATGTTGCACTGCATCGAAAAGCTCTGATGTTAAATCCTTCCACTCAACAGATCTTGTGATATCGTCTTTAGAGAGCAGTAACCATGCAGGTAGATTTGTTTTTGTGGATGCCATGTTTAGTGAGCGGTTACCTGAGAAGCGCGCCTAATATTTAACTTGTCAGCGGATTCCAAAACTGGCGCCATTTTGAATTTTGTTTCTTTTTTTTCGGACATGTTAAACATTCCTTAGTAAGACAAGGAAAATGGTTCATTAGTAAGAACTAAATGGATCTTAGGAAAGAAATGGTGATGATTTATCCAAGGAGAAGCATATCATGGTCACAAAAATGAAAAAAACTCTTTAGCTGTGTTTGAAGATGCGTTGTGTTATTCCAGGCAGATCAGTGAAATGTGTGTTCACTTTTAGATCGAAGCTAAACTTATCTATGACTTTAAGATTTTGTTCGCTCTCTCAACACGTTTTTGTGTGTGTTTCAGTGTTTGCGAAGGCAATCCATTGTTTATCCAAGATTGGTAATGAGCTGTATCTGGAGGCTCTGTCAGAAGGGGTGAGTTTAAAAAATCATGTGATAGTTCGAAAGTTCTCAGATACAGTAATAATTGCAGGTACGTTGGCAAGATTTTTTAAGAGGGGTGAGGGATCCCAGGAAACATCTCAACAGAAGCAAACAAGGAAGGTTTTTTCATTGTGTGCAGCGAAGGGGGGTAGTGGGAAATAAGCCCCTCAGGACCCACCCCCCTGGCATTGAGTCGCTGAGGAAAGTATAGCAAAGGAACAGTGAGAGTCAATAGGATTTACTTGGGTCCCCTCCCCCCTTCCATTCGATAGGAAAAAATTGGTTACAATGATAAGACTAAAGATGGATAATTACTCTTTACTTACTCTCACTTCTCTTTATAACAGCTTGCGCTAAGGACAGTCAGCTCATCTCGCTCAGCATATGCTTGCTTTCTCTTCAATGAGAGCTTTTTTATTAGTTATGATGATGGATCAGATGAATCGGCAGGGGATTCAGAGGAAGAGGATTTATTAAGATGCAAGATTGCCATGAAGGTCAGAGGAATGTTTGGTTTACATGACTGTATTTATTACCACTGCTCAACAGTTTCAAGACCAAGTCTGACTCAGCATAGAATGCAGTAAATAACCTAATTTTGGGAACTGTTACAGGTGTGTAACATGCACTAGGTTCAAGAGGCATTTCTTTCAACAGACCTCTAGTATTTTACTGCTCAGAGAAAAAACAAAGCAGAACAGAAAACAAAAACAAATTGAAAGAAGACATTGTCCAAGTAGCACAAGTTGATTGTAATATTTCTTAAAGTAACTAATATTTGTTCAAGGACCAAAAGTTGATTGTAATATTCCTAGATGTAAACTCATGTCTTTGCGCAGAAGGTTCCAGAGAATAACACTTAGAGGGACAACACCTCTGCCTTCCCAGTGCTATAAAACCCAGTGTACTGTGTAGAGCCTTAAGTGACCTTTTTTTTGCATTTTTATTTACAGTCATGCCTGTCAGCTTTTAAATCCATGAACACAATTGAGAAAACAGTGGATCAGTGCAAAATAGATCTGAATGTCAGGGAGGCTAGGCTGGTTTTTCTGTTCTACTGCAGACATGGTAAACTTAAGTAAACTTCACTCAGTCTTACTTACAATGTAAGTCTGTAGGAGGTCCACACAGAAAAAAAGTTGTCCAATGTCTATAGAATGAAGAAACTGTTTTAAAGAGTATTTAAATCACCTTGAATGAAATATTTGTACATCCTAGTTTGCTCTTCTTTAGCATTTTGTAAGGAATCCCAGACAGTTTGGTGAACACATTCTCTCTCCAAGGCAGAAGACATTCTGTTGGAGTAAAATATCTTGCCCAGGAACACAACACAATGATGGCTGCCAGGAAGGAAACATTGTAAAAGTTTTGGAGGTCATATTACCACAGTTGCAATTATTCCAACATAACAGGATTATTTATTTTTGGGTTTTGAACTTGTTTTTTTTTCCTTTTCAACAATTGGCCTAAAAATTGGACACAAAAAGTTGCCGCAGTTTTACAAATGTAAGTCTTAATTCAATCTTTAGGTACACTAATTGTCAACTCATATAAATTTTTTTTGTTTTTTTTATTTTTCTTTCTTTGAATTCTTACAGGCATTACAAAGACTTACAACTTGACATTTCTAGAGTGTGAAACCTTGCAAGCTGTGTTTGCAAAAGACTTGTGTCCAAATTTTATGACAACTCAAGCCAAGTAAGAAAAGTTTGAATGCCTTTTTTCATCAGTCTTCCAAATTGCCGTGGTGAAATCTGATGTTCAAAGCTCTTACAAGGCAGATTCTCAAGGGAAACTCATGATTAAGTATCCTCAGCTAGCCTTGGATTTTTACAAGAATTTGTAAATTTTACATGGTGTTTGTTTGCACTTTTATAAAAACCAGACTTTTTCTTGCAGAACATTTGTAGAGCTTTCTGTATCAGTGAGCCTTTAAGGAGAGTTCCAATTATAACATGATATTTCCTACTTTTCACAGAATTCTCAATGATGCAGTGGTTAACTTTCCAAACAACCAAGAAGAAATAACTCTTGTTGTCAGTCCTGAGACCTTAAAAGTCAAGAACTATGTGGATGATGAGCCTGGTAAGAAAAAAAAAAGCAAAAGTGACTGTTATTTGATAGTTAGAAAGTCACAGTGGCAAAAAAAATCAACTATTTATAGGTAGCTGAACAGATGGGTATCTCAAGAGCCTTGTCAGTGTGAGCAAACCTTATTTTGATCAGTTAAAAATACAGTGACTTCAATTTCATCCCCGACTGAATAAGTAAGAAGTAACTGTAGGTTCTTGAGAGTCTTTGAAACTATATCTGATATTGCTTGGTAGTCTAAATGGTGTCAGAAAACAGTCAACTCCCATTATTGCAGACACCCACAGGGGGAGATTTAGTGTCCCTTACAACAAGAGTCAGTAATTGCAGGATATGAGAGAAAAAAAGTATTGTTTTGTCTCTAAAAATATGAAATGACATGTAACTACCCAGACATTAAGTTTCTAATGTGGCCTCACAAACAGGAAAAAGGTCTGGCCACAAGCTGGAAATTCTCATGCTTGCATCCAATTGAAGAATGGTTTCTTTATTTTCCTTTATTGTAATGTTGCTTTATATATATTATGTGAGTCAGGATTTTGG